ACAGTAGAGAATCTCGTCATGGACCATTATTACTCTTAGCATCCCCAACTAGTATGGCTTCTCTTATTCAATACGGGAAATTGAGAAACTTCATTAATACGAACAACTTCCGTTTCCATTAGTTTTTCTATACAAATCACAATTTGAGAGTTTTGTTTTTGACCGATAAATTATAGTCTATGGTATTTCATCTTTCCACTACATGAGTTCTTATCGTTATTCAAAATACACAAGCAGATGTACCTTGCAGTGGCAAATCAAATCAAATTCGACAATGAATCTACACTGTACGTGGAAAGTTTAAGTGTAAGTCTAGTCTAAGAACACTATAATTGATATTACTGAACTAATCTCAAGACAAGTAACTATTACGAACACATTGACTACAATTGTCACCTTTCTGGCAACACGAATGTAAATGCAGCGATTTGGTTGGATTGTACGTTAACGAACACAACCAATCAGAGTTCTCGACGGAAACTCTATTCACAATAAGCCATGATGTTTACAATCGATGTATTCGCCGACCTACTATCAAATCTCTGCATTACGTGATACAACATAGGTTGATATTGCAGTCAAGGTGTAAGAGGCCGTTTGCAATGCCTTGACCATTGGTGGACTTGGTTCAACCAGCCCTTATGGTAGTTGAGTCACTGAGTTAATGAAGTTAATGTTTAAGCGGAAAAATCGTACTATGTACAAAATGCTTGACTATCATAACATAAAATTTCCAGATTGTATATAGCGAAAGTCATTACAGAAGAGGAATACGAAACAGTGAATCATTCAAAACGGATACTTTTGCATGCTGAAATCGGAAACCATTTATTTTTCATTATTATTACTGTTCAAATGTTCAGATGAGTTGAATAAAACCTTTCAGCGAGTCCATGTATCATGTACATTCTTGGATGTAGGATGGATGATACCAAACCGAGGTGTGAAACCACCATCCGGAACTATCGAAGATGTACATGTGGACATTCGAATTATAATTTCTTCTTTTAACGTCCCGGTTTGTAAGTGATTAATAAGATAGGAGTTATCTCCCATGCATTGATGTAACTGAAATCAAAATATAACCTCTTTCCATATAAAATCTGTAACCTATCTCATTCTCTACAGTCACTCTACATCAATTATATAAAATGTTATTTGCGATATCTTATGTCAAGCACATACCTAAAATGAATTAGAACTGTAATTGTTTTGCCACGAGAATCAAATCCTCGTTACCACAATTCAACCATGACACAGGAGGGTGATTCAGTTTAACAGGCAGATTTCCTAAATTTTGTATTTACTGTATATATTTTTTTTGTATGTTTAAAGAAAATATATCAGTTATAGATTATATTGAACATGGTGGTTGCTCACTGCTATCGTGTTACAATCTTTTAGCAAACTATGTTATGTATGTATCTTTTTCTCTAAAATGTGGTTTTTGACAAATAAATGGTACCAGAGTGGCATTGGATTAGACATAAGTTAATAAACACAACACATTAGTATCTTATATACATTATGTCACAGATGATGATTTGTATATCTTTTGAAATGTTTGAAATGTTCATCTTGAAATGAAAAATAATTAAATATTACAGCAACTGACAGGACAAACTGATAAAATAATTAAATTAAAAAGCTTAATTACCTCTTATATTACATAGAAATAATAAAATACCACGTTTCGATACTTTTTTTTAGCAATGGTTGGTTACAGACATAATTATTTTTATTTTTTAATTATTGCTTGAAAATTGAAGTCATCTCCGAATTTCTATTAGCCTATATGTAATAGACAAATATACATCAAAAAGTGCCCTTATGCCTTAAAACAAACTAACTTAGATCTTTGTATCTGTTGTAGTACCCTAACCTGATACCACAGGGCTTTGTATTTGTGATAACAATTGGTGATGGTATTTTAGTATTCCTAACTGAAATCTAACTTTTTACTCTGAAGTTGAAAGTAGTTTGATTTGGCTCACTCACATCACCAGTGTTCAGTAATTCACCTTGCTTTGACATCTCACCTACAATCGATAGGTGCTTTGTTATTAAAGAAGTGAGTTATACCATTATATACCCCTTGTGTTTTTTGTTAAATCGATATGTTGGTCCTGGTATAGGTAAACAGTAATTAATAATGTATGGTTGATTGTTGGGGTTATTGTGATAAATGAGTTTACCTTTGATTTGTTGAAATGATTAATGAAACCTATGGCATTACAAATAAAAAAAATCTACAGGCAACATTTCATTGTATTAAAGTCGATTAAATTCCATTTTCTATTTGAATAATGGATGCAAAACAAAGCCATTAAATAGACATATATTAACACGATTCAATGAGGTAGAAACAACAAAAGTTGTGGAACATTTTATTCTGCCCATTATTAATTTTGTTTTATGGGAAAGGTTTTCAATTCGTTTGGTCCAAACGTATGTGATCATATTGATGGTTTGTTAATGTTGCTGTCATGTTGATAACTCTATTAGGAATTGATGGGAACAATCGGCTGTGATGATATATTATATATAAAATATTGATATTCATATGATCTTTAACCTATACAGTATCGTTTAAATTAACAGTTAAATAATTAACAGACGTCCCAAGGTAGCTCTTTATTAACACTATTAGTATATTTTGTAATTGGACGATAACTTTTTATACTCAACAAAATGAAATTGTTATCTAGTGCCATTGTATTTTGAATTCAGCTTCGTCTACATGTGTTCTAGATCGCAGTTACTAAAATTTCTGTTTGATTTATAATTAATTGTAGTATTCTCTGTGAGCCTTTATTGTTTTTAATGTGTTATTACCAACAACGTTTTCAGCACCTCGTTCACTAACAATGACAATTTATCTAGGATGGTTTCAGAGCTACATCAAGGAGTATTTGAATGATTGAAATATAAAATATAGACAGCAGATTAACAAACCCAGAATAAAAATCGAGAGTTTAATGTACTTAACTGTATTCCCTCAGTATAATCTGAATTTTGAAATGTTTTGAGACAATGGCTTGTATAATTACGGTGTTGCTTGTGATATTATCTTTAAATGTACATCTGTTCTCATGTGAGAAAAGTCGAGTATATCCGACTGCGACTTATCCTGATTCTAATCTGATCAAAACCGAGACGTTGGGGGATCTTCCAGATTGGTCAATCCAAGACATTATTAACAAAACTGAAGAGTTTTATTCGAAATTGTGCGGTTATTGTGAACAAATACCTGATCCATCTGTAGTGACCGGACCACAGTGTTCGGATTGTAATTGTGATGATCAATGTGCACTTTATGGTAATTGCTGTGAATGGGCAAAGAATAACAAGTCACTGGTCGAATTTCAATGTATATCATACGATACCTTTCAGTACCTACCATCTCCAATGTTTATGAAAGTTCAATGTACAGAGAATTTTAAGAACGAGACGATTAGGAGAGCCTGTGATAAGCCACCAGAATGTCTTTCAACACCAGTAACATCCGGCCAAGGAATAACATATTTTAATGAATATTGTGCACTGTGTAATTTGGAAACAAACTACACCAAGTGGAATCTAGCATGGATGATATTTCCATTTGAAAAACTTTTCAAAACTATTATTAATATCTATGCTTGTAAAATGAACATAAATTTAGATGTTTATAGTTCTGAAGTTCTTCGTCAATCAAATCCCAAACAATGTCCAATTCCAGTAGTGTTGAAACCAGTAGAGATATGTAATAAAACGGGAAATTGGAATCAATACAATCCGGATCTTGAAAATCTTTGTCAATCATCCAAACTGACTGATTTTCGGCCTCTCGTGGAATTTGGATTTATTTTCAAAAACATTTTTTGCTACTTTTGTAATGGATACACTATTTCGAGATTTCGCAACGAAGAAATTGGAGGAGGAGTACCAGTACAGGATATAGTGGATATTGTTAATTTCAAACCGCGGATAAAACCAAGGATGCTTGATCTACCGGTTGAACTAGTTAGAAATAATACCTTTTTCGATCCTTACCAGGTAGGCCATGAAAACATATATGAATTTGAGTATTTCCTTTCTTGTCCCTGTCGCCGTTTAGAATAAAAAAACAGTTTCAGAAAAATAAAGGACGCGAGATTTCTAAGTGCAGGCTTTTATTTAACGATTGAATTCATATTTGTTTGCGTTCATTGGTTGATGAACGCAGATTTTTCACTGTGAAATCGAATGGATGGTAATTGAAAGCACATGATAACGTTTAATTCAACATTATAAACTTTGATTTGATTTTGTATTTTTAGAACACGACTATGGAGATGTTTTGTAATAAAGGTTTTAAGTTGACCAATAGTGAGTGTATACCAGACAATACTGTACATCAAGTTTTTATTGGTTTGAGATTGAATACTGGAAATCGAAATATCAGCCACAAAGACGACCAGATTCTGGAAAACGTAAAATTTAAACTTCAAGATTTCCAGAACTATGTAGCCGTTATAGATCAACATGTAGAAAGTGTCATTGACGTTAAAGTATTTTTTGTATTAAAAACTGAAGAACTTGGCGCTGCAGATAAGGCAAGAGATAAGCTGTATTTTGATTGGTTGGTTGATTATGATATCATTTCACCAGACAAGGTTTACGTTTGGAACGAGGCCGAACAGAAGCTACATTTTGATACTGTTTATCATATTTCAGATGACCTCACTTGCCGGTGTTTAAAAAATCAACCTGAAAAAATATCAGAGACGTTCGCACACTATACTTACCAATATAATTGTTCTTATGTAGAATATGATTTACACGATTTCCAGAATAGTGCAGACTATTCTAAACATCTTGGTAACCTGTCTGTATCTCATGATGAATACACAATATCGGGACAGAAAATCAAAATCTGTGTAGAAACCATCAAAGAAAAGTATGAGGCGATCAAGAATAAAGACATAGACACCTACAGCAATAGAAAAGCCTATCAGATATGGTTTCAAGTTTGTCTGGCAATATCTCTCGGTTGTTTGTTTTTTACATTGTTGACCTACTGTATTTTCCCTTCACTGAGGTCTCTGCCGTGTAAAAACAATATCATTTTGATACTATTTCTCATGATAGCACAGTTGATGTTGTTCATTCAAAGTTATATAGGTTTAAAAGGCTTGCCATGCGTTTGTTATGGAATAGCCATACACTATGCTTGGCTATGCGCAACATTTTGGATGAATATTTGCTCCTATCATATGTTTCGAGTATTTAGATCGTCAAATGTCGCTTCAATGTCTTCTTCGACACACTGGAAAATATTGCTGAGGTATGCTTTTTATGCTAATGGTGTTCCCACTATTATAATAACATCGGTTGTCCTTGGATCGTATTTTACTTCCGGTACATTTGGATATGGTAAAAACGTTTGTTATCTCGATAGTTCACTCTTGATCATCTTGGCCATGGTATCACCAATGACTATCACAATTGCATTCAATTTCGGTTTTCTGTCTTTCACTATTTGGACAATATCAAAAACAACCCAAATGGCTAAACAAGTCGGAAAAGATAGGCATCATATTTGGGTTTATATCAAACTATCTACATTGACTGGTTTATTTTGGACCGTTTCAATCTTGAATAACTTTTTTGCTTTTGGCGCATTATCTTACATTGCTGTATTCCTGAATTATGGACAAGGCTTCTTTATATTTCTGTCTTACATGGCGAATAAACGCGTTTTAAATTTGTGGTTAGGATTATGTGGTAAACGGTTACCTGAGACTACTTTATCAACATCTTCAAATCACACAGTAAAAACTAAGCTATGAATATTTACTTTTATGCTGAAGCTTTGCCAAATTTAGATTGATATACCCACATATTGGTCTTTGAAAAATGACGTATACGATGTTTGCATGTGTAACGTATTTTAATTTTGGAATTCTTTGATATACCACGTAAGAACGTTTACGATCTCTGCTAATGTCTTGTATAGGATTTTTCTGTTTAATTTCAATTTCTATGACATAAATGTATATTTGATAGTCATACCTGTTTCATTAATAAATTATTGCATCAGTAATATATCATTTTTTTCCCTTCTTCAATATACAGGTGAACGTAATGATTTCATAATCTAATTTTGTGTGAGAAGTGTATTGTTATGTGGCAATATATTTACAATGTGTTTCTGTCTTTAGGGGTAGGGGTAATCTAATCCATAGTTCAATTTTTATTCAGTAACATGGCCCAAAACATTGTTTTAACTACAGGCAACAATGGTGACTGGTTCTCCGATTTGTTTTGATTCCCATCATCCATAGTACGGTGAAGGATGGAATATTATTAATTCGCATGTCCACTTCCATACTGAGAGTAGCTTGACTTCTGGACTCCCCAAAAAACAATTTTTGCAGCATGGGATCAATAAAGAAATTCAAAGCTACTCGTTATTACAAAGTTACTAGTCTCATTATTGAAACAACATTCATACCGCCATTATAAATGTGCGTCAGTGTAATATATTTTCACTGAGAGATATAGCTAATCCTGTTAAATGAAATACATTACACTATAATATTTTATACCTGACATTTTTGTTAGAAATTATCAATATGATAATTAGTTCTAATTATCTATGATTATAAATGAAGACAAATGTCAACTCAAACTCTAGAGAATATTATTATTATTTGAATATTTGCACTAAATGATAAACAAGCTGATAGGAAATTCTGTTCCCTGTCCAGTACCTCATTTGACTTCTTAGTGTTTTCGTCATTTTCACACAATGCTTTCTGTATTAATACTCTCCATGACTGATATGCATCTTCTGGTTTTAACTAAGGAAAAATGGCACAGATATAACAGCCTAACAGGGGAAAGATTTTGAGGTCCATTTCATTCACGAAGACTTACCAATAAGAATGAAAGTAATTGACATATAATGCTATATGTATATCGGGTGGCCCATAATACTTTTCAATTCAGGATTATTCATAAAGCATAAAATCTATAATCGTGAGATTTTTACATCATATTTTAAGGAATATAGGACATCATTTCAGCGCAATAAAGAGCTTTAAAGGAATCCCAGCTTTTTCAAAATTACTTGTTAAAAAATATAATGCCGAAAATATTTATTATAATTTCACAATTTTTTTTTTGAGTTAATGCTCAATACAATATAACCACCCGAATCCCTTTTTCCATGACAAGCTATTGCTTGTTCGGTTTGTTCAAGTCCTATTTTTGTTTCATTACGCTCTAATTCTTTCCTTCGGTCCATCAAAGCTATCTCCATTGTTAATGTAGATAGAGAAAACACACTGTATTGTTTTATTGTAATCAAGACTTTGGGGGTAGCTTTTCATCTTTAGTGAGAAATACTCAAAATTCCAAAATTCAAAAGGCAATTTTTTCATGGAAAGGGCTTTTGTTTTTTGGGGTTTTTTTTTGCTGAAAATGTCGTCCCCTTGGGGCATTTGCATTTAAAGAAAAACATTACAGTATTTTCTTTCGGCATTTTATATTTTGACAAGGAATTTTTAAAAGGCCGTAATTTCAAATTGGTTCAATCTATAAAGCTGTAATTAGGCGAAAAGGTGTCTAAAATCCTTATTAATATGATCATAGCTCTGATTGTTTGTAACAAACTCCTGACCAATCAGATATAACAAGATGTATCAGTCTTTGATTGGCTCAATTTAACAATGATGTGAATCTGTAAGACCGTTTTCTAGATCCTTTTCATCATTCAGATCGAATATTTGTATATGTGTCATTCATTTTTTTCATTAGCACACACAAATCAGAATTATGTGACGTTGGGTATCGTATGTCAACTGGCATAACTGAACTTGACAAAATACAATCTCAAAGCCTATCTAAATTACTTAGTATCCTAATCATTTGTGGAATAATTCTCTATCTGGAACAATAGAATAATTACCGGTACTGTCAATAAGATTAGTTTGTGTATTATACGAGGATATCTAGATGGGGGTCGACAGAAATTACAACAAATTGTTTCTGTTTTAAAAATGTAGTTCACATTTGCTAATATTCTGAAAACAAATATTATTTGTAAGACATAATGGATATTCTGCAACAAATGATATGGGTCTAGTCTGAGACATGTGTAAGTAGGACCATCACTTGCTTCTGTTCACCCCTTTTCTCGCTGTCTCGCGGTCAAGAAGGCAAGATTAACAATGGCTGCAGCCTGTTTCCATAATTTGCTGTTCTTGTGTGTTAAATTTTCTGCCTGAATTCACGAAGCAAAACTTTACGTCATGATGTTGCCCCACCTCCTCCATTAAGAAAATTACCAAAATATTCATTAAACATTTTTGGTAAAAGTCGCAACTGAACGGGGTGCTGGTGTTGTTGTATTATTATTGGTTTTGCTTTTGGATTTTGTCTTGACGTTGGAGTTCTTCTGTATTTCCTTCCGTTCCATATCTAACAGTTGCAAACATTCAAATTTCAAGTTGCATGCTCTTATACCAATATTTATACTACTGCGTTATGTCAATTTTATATGGAGGGAAGTAACTCCCGGTGACCTGAATTAGTTTTTTACCCAGACTGACATACTATAAGGCAAAATTTCAATGCAGATTAGCTGAACATACTTTATGAAAAGAAAGCAATTACATGTACTCTCACGGTCATACAATCATGAGCTAAGCCTTTATAAACTGAGTATAATGTACATATATACAAACAAATATTAGTTGGCACGAAATATGGGTGAATCAATGTATCGCGATACAACGTGACACGATACACCTATCGTATCCCAGCATCGTGTATCGATACTTGACGATAACTTTTATTCCACCAAAAAGTGGAGATCTTTATAAGTTGGTGTATGATATAACAATTTAGTTTACAGGAATCGTTAGAAACGTTTTATAAGGCAGTGGACGCTAACCACTTCTTTCAACTATATTACCAAATATCACAGTTATATAGTTATATAGAAACTTTGAAGATAAAATGTTAATTATTATCACATTAACCCATATCGCAATATGTATCGTATCGTGACCCTTTCGAGACTGAGGGTACAAATAGAGGGGCAGACTGACTCAATCGGGGGACATGTCGAGTCTGAATTTAATATGTGGCAACTCTGAGGCGTCATATAGTCCCGTTTACACGAGTTGGACTTGGACTCGCGAATTTACTGACCCGGGTTGACTCGGGTTTACACGAGGACAGTCTGCTAGGTCGCAATTTCAGTGAAGCCTGGACAACCAAGATGTGATTGTAGCCATCTGTCGGCATAAACTGCTGAACCCGGGTGGAATTGGAGTTCGACCCTATTGAACACTGGAGTCGGCTACTCCAGTGCGGCCCCGGAGTCGACTCTGGGCCAACCCTTGGTGGACTCGGGGATTTTACTTTCGTGTAAACCACCCTTCGTTCGCAAGACTCTCTTGGAGCGTCTGAGAGTGGTCTCCGGAGAAAATTTTCGAAAAATTAAATTGATTTGGTGCATTCTGAAACATATTTTGGGACAAAAATGTATTAAAACCATATATTTGAATTTGTTAAAAATAAAGTGGTTGCAAACCATCCTTTAAGGAGACACATGCCCCCTCTGTAACCCCACGGTCATGCAGTAATCTCGGACAGCATAATTACGTATAAAAAATCAACGGAAATGACCACACTTATATAAGTTTCATAATTTATTCTTTGATTTAAAAATAAATAAATATCACAGAAAATGTAGAAGACATAGACACTAGTAGTAACACCAACCCGTAACAAGAGAATCTTGAAATTTAATGTTTTATGGATTCTGTATCAAATACGTAACTTCTTTCATCATTTTACATTAAATACAAAATATGAAACATTTTCAATCCTATGATACCAAATTAAAAAAACTTTCGTACAGCATATGAACATTTGATACCAAATTTGAAACGTTTTCAATACTATTTAGTACAAAATATAAAATTCTATCAATCATTCGTTACCAGTTTTGAGTTGTTATCAAACATTTTTATGAATAATTAGAAAGATTTTCAAGCAATTGGTATAAAAGTTGTAAGGAATTGTATAGTGGATTTGCATTTGATTTCAGTTCTTTCTCGCTGTTTCGACCAGTATATATGCAATAAGGCCTCCATTGTGCAACCAAACATTGTGTGTTTCTGGGATCAGTTGAACAGAATGGGTTTTGAGATAATAATATCCATAGGTCGTCGCGTTGACATCAACAGCACGCTGGAAAAAGCTAATAGTAGGATAATATCGGGTCGTTGCAAGATTGTATTGGACCAGTTTTACGACATTGACAGCACGCCGGAATAAACTAAAAGTAACATCTACTGTATGGATTGACTAGAATACTGGAACAAAGGATTTCTTGATCTTCCGCGTTCTGTCACGGTTAATACCCTGGAAAACAAAATTCAAAAACATTTTAAAAATCTATAAGATCATTTCAAAGGGTTCAATGAACCCACAGAGTTACAGGGCCAAAATCTGATAGATTAATTACATGTAAATGTAAATAAAACTTTTCAAAATGTTTTTGTGAACTCACACTAAAACATCTTTTTTTTCAGTGGAAATTGAGAATTTTTTGCCATGACATTTGAAAAGTACATTAATATGATAATGTGTTATATTCGTTGAGGCCTGATGCATTTATAGGTTGGCGTCATGTAGATAATTAAACTGCAATATGAGACTGGTTATGTGAGATAATAAAACATAAAAAATACACACCTTCACATATCCTATTAATAATCTCATCGCTCTTCTTTAACATACTTTCAAATGTTTGAAAATTGATGACGTAGTGTTCTGAAGGGAAGGTGGACAATCTACGTACTTCCTGTTCATTATACGTCGAACCAATGGTCACTACATACACTTTAACATTTTTGAATTTCAGCCTTTTAGATTCAAATATAGACTCTCTGGAATTCAACAGTTCACTATCAACAAATATGACTACTATTTTCTCTGAGTCTCTCCTACTTCCGCCAGCTTGTCTGAAACTATGGCGTCGCACGTGATGTAACAAGGGACGTAACCCTTCCCGCTCATCCGGTCTGAGTCTATTTATAAACCAATTTGTTTTGTGGTAATATGACAGATCTAAATAACCATCATCCGGGTCTTTTTCCTTCACAATACCAGTTCGTAAATCTATTGTCTTTGGGAATTCACTGTTAATTCTAGCGACTGTTTTTGTAATAATTTGTGTTTTGTGATGGCCGAGACTAGTGGAATCCATGGCAAACACTATATCCGTTACGGAATTTAAAGAACAACCTGAAATAGAACATAAATTACACTATGAACTTGAAACAACAAGATGATAGGTTATTCATTGACACAACTAAATTAGATTACAAAACTTGTTGGTCAACACTAGACCAGTTTAGTCAGTTTTTTAGTCTTTATTATTGTTCATGTTTTCCACCAAACTCACTTAAAGTTGATGAATAGATATGTACTTACTAGGTTGATCTGAAGATAACTTAGCCATAAGATCTTTCGGAGCAGGAACTGGAAAGACAAGACATGAGAACATCCGTTAAAACATTTGTCAATATCAAAACATCAAAATATATGCTAAGTATAGCGCATTATTATGTACATGACAGAGATGGACCTGACATACACTAAAAATTGATCACTAACAAACCCGTTACCAAACGTTTTCAAGCACTGTGTATATAAAAGATATCTATTAGCCCCAACATTGCCAGGTATGATTAATATTCCCAGCTTACCTTCACATGCTTTCACTGCTAATAAGCTTTCGATCTTCTTCAAAGCTTCATAATCATCAACTCTGAAGACATAATTTTCATCAGGATCACTGGCAATCTCCAGCATTTCTTCTTCATCAACTGCTTTACCAACACCTACAGCAAACAGCTGGATTGCTTGTTTATGGGCCAATCCAGCTTCCTTTGCAGTCTTCTCAAAACTTCTAGATTGACCGTCAGTCACGATAATACCCACATGCGCCACGTCAGATCTGGCATTGTCTTTTGAGAATCCCACTTCTCTAAGATACTGAATAGCAGCTTCTGTACTCGTACCGCCAGTTAGATATGGTATCTTCTTAACCTTGGCTTCAAATTCCTCCATAGAGTAAGCATCAAGTGGAATAACCGGATGAACACCGTCACTGTAAGTCACGACCCCAACCCGAGTTTTATCCTTCTCCATATCAAACAGTGAAACCACTTCTCTGACGAAGTCTAGCTGTTTGATGAAATCTGGATACCAGATACTGCTGGAGGAATCCAAAACAAAATAAACTTCCGCTGGTTTACTTTTACAGCCTGAAATACACCGATTTTTTCTTTATTTTTCAAAGATTGTGTTCTATTCCTTATTTATGAGATCCGAATCACCGAGTGTTTGTTTACCCTTATTGGTAGCGACAATCACATATTTTACTACCAATAAACCTCGATTGTTCAACACTTTCTGCCTTATAAGAAGATCCATATTGTTTTGATGGATTTTGATTTTTTGAGTTTATCTTTAAATCACTTACTTTGTTTAGGATGATCAGGATCACCAACCACTGGCTTTTCTACTTGGGGTTGATCATTAACCAAACCTGAAAATACAAAAGAGAATAGGCTAAGTCGTTACTTTTGAGTTTTCAATGTTACAGCCTTAAGATAAAGTTGTTAAGTTGTAGAATGTATGTAAGAATCGTTTGAGAACGGGAAAAACTCCCATATATTGCTCGATGATTGTTTCGCGAGATAGATGTCACAGTTTTACTAAACTATCTATATTTGTGAAATCTGACAATAGTTTCTAGATTTGTACCACAGTGTATGCAGTTAGAACAATTCCAAATTGTAAAAAACTAACCTTTACAAGTTGTAGCAGTAAATGAATGTCGAATGTGGTGAAGAGATTTATAATTTTCCACTAAAAACTGATGTTTTTCTTTAGGTTTACTGGCAATGACATCTAATTCCATAGCGTCCACACTGTAACCAACTCCTATGGTAAAGATCTCGATATCGTCCAGCCGACTTAATGAGCCCTCCATCATAGTTTCTTTTCGATCGCGTGATACACCATCGGTGATCAAAATAACAATTTTATCTGCCCACTTCCGCCCGCCATTTTCACGTTTGAACATCTCTTCACGAATATACTTCAAAGTAGCTCCAGTATTAGTGCCTTCGCCTAAGGCATAAACAGACTGAATTGCTGTCAAAACAGATCTCTTGTCTTTATGATCTTTGAGTTGAAAGTACGGTTTGATTCTTGTACCAAATGTGACTAGACCAATTTGAATGTTGTTAGGACCTATGGTTAAAGAGTCCACAACTTTCTGTACAAAGTCTGTTTGCTTCACGAAATCCTCTGGCCAGATACTGTCTGATGAGTCCAGGGCGAAGATGATGTCTGCCACCTTTTCTTTGCATTCCAATACTGAAAAATATGACAACATAAAATTGAAACTAATATGACAGAAAAAAATAAGGTCAAACATTAAACAAGCAATTGGACTTAAGACTGTAGCAATCAAGATACAGATGGTGGCAACAGTTGGAGTTAAATGCAGATTAAGAAACAGGTGGATTATCGTGAGATATTGATACCTCTTGATTGCATTATGGTGAAAGTTGTCTTATTGTCTAATAGGCTGCTTATTAATTGTCACAGTTCAAAAAATTATAATAATTGTCTTTTTTATCAATTGATACCAAACAAATGTGTTTCAGGAAGAACGAACTCGTTTTTAAATACTACATAACTTCCCCAAAAACTGTTCCCACACACATGTATTATAAATACACAAATATCAGACAGTGGAGCATAAAATTCAGTATTGATTGAAAGCAATTGCATTAGAAAGTATAATAGCTTTATTATTGTTGATAACTATGGATAAATATTATCTCTCCCACAGTTTCATTCGAATTTAAAAGTTTATTTTGAAAATCTACCACGCTTCAATAAACCAATAAGGTGTATAATTGACTTCATCGTAGGTAAACCAATTATAGGTTGTATATTACCCGATATAGATCCTTTCTAAAGTTTATAATCTCTTATATATTTTACCACTAATTGATCTTATTCTGTGGTTTACCTTTTTTATTTATCGCATACTTTCACATGCATGTGAATAATCTCTATAAATAATCATTTATTATATTTTATTATTCGTAGGTTTAATAAAATTATTTGATATTATGGTAAGAAAATAGAATGTTCAAGATTAGTTTCATCATTTTAACATATTATGTTTATTCCCATGCATTTAATGCTTCTGCATTTATAAGTCCTAGGGGTTCAGCAAACCCTCGTTTTAAAATATCGACGAAGGATTTAAATATTCGCCTTTGCTTATAGTACTCTAATCTGTTTGCTCTGCTCACAATATAATTTCAAAAAAATATATTTTTATGAATAATCGTAATGATATTCAGATTAAGTAACTAAATATTGATCTATCATATCACATGAATTCTGTATCATTATTCTACGTGATATTTGAGAATACATATATTAAATAAGTTATGATTTCAGAAACATATTAATCCGTTACTAATTAATTTAATTTTGAATACATGTATACAGTTATGGGTATGTGTAATGTTGTAGGTAATAATTATTCAATCTGGAATTATTTCAACCTAAATTGTTTTTATTGCTGTTAATATTGGACAATATTGTTCATCAAAATTACATGGTAACCGTTTATGCGAAACATAAAGATACTCTGCGATTGTAACTATCAACGTGGTCCCACGAGAGCCGTTCTATATTTTGAAGATACTGTCAATATTTGTGTTTACATAAGTATGAATCCTGTTTATATGAAAATGCAGTTTTATCATGATATACCAGTATCCATTACTCATTAGTCAACAATTTATTATAGGAATTTTATCTCGATATAAAATCTTCCGTGTCGATTACTTCCAAATCTAACATAAATAGCCTTCTTAATATTAATAATTATATATACACGCTTGCTCTTATGGCTGTTTGTACAATTTCTATTAGTCATTATATATGTCATTTATAGTTGATAATACGTTAATTATCATCACACAAAATCATGTTGTGGTCAATGACAAAGAAAACTATAAGGATATTTTAAGCATCAATTGGTATAAACTATTTCCAATTCCTCCAATCTCCCTTAAATCAATTCCCTAAATATTACATTATATTAATTTATTAAATTTTATGTTATATGAAATGTTATGAACTTTTGACTAAATGTGTAAACCATTGTCTACAATTCCCAATCCTTAAATCAAAAGTTAGGTTTGATTCATAACAAAATTCATGTGTAATGGTCTTCCTATTACAATAAACACTGTCTTGGACCAATATCATATGTTAATCAATCAGGTCTTAAGTTATATATTATCTATTTCTTATATTGGCCTTGACCACCTAAATATCTACTACAGACTACAGACTGTTCACTAATTAATTTTGTAAACACATTTTTGTTTTGCTTAACGCAACCTCATGATGACTCGTTTTTCATTTTACGAAAAAAGAGAAGAGAGAAAAATATAGAAATCTCACCTGAAGAACTAACAGGAATAATTCCATTCAATAAAACCTGAAATAAACACCCAAAACAAAAGATTATCAGATAATCCATGGTTAGTGTATTTACGTAAGGAAACTACATCCTTGCCACGACATGATTCAATATACTACTATTCTCCTATACAGTAAGTCATAGTAGGGTGTCAACACACACTGTCAAATCCAGCTTGAAATATTTCAAAAATGTAATCATCATTCTTTCTCGCATGAGTGAACACCAATCTACTCTTTTCTTGATAGAACGCCCTTCGTCATTCTTGCCTTTGTCGAACCATTGCCTCACTACACGAAGCCTTTTCTTAAGATATTTTGTTGTAATAATTCGTGTTATATTAACGCCAAATATTTTCTATAAAAATAATATATAAAGAATTTTTATTAAGGCGACCGAATTGACATGACAGTATCGCAAAGGGATTAAAAACAGCATGTGGTTTAAAAGCAACATACCTCAGTAGAATGTTTGAGATTATGTACTTTTAGAAGATTGGAAGTTTGTAGAACTTAAATCAATTTAATAAGCAAATAGTAAAAATTAACTTTATGTCGAGGACTCACCAATTTACCACATATAAAACAGCATTGAATTACACAAAAAGCGAAATTTAAGATCGAATATCGGGTATGGGAGTCTCACTTTAAAAATGTATGAGATTCTTCTCTTTCAGTCGAAGAATTCAAATATAAATACATGTAAAGAAAAAATTAATATTGCAAAAGGCGATCGGTGTATCGGTATAGTGTGCCTAATTGCCTCAAAATGAATCATATTGGAATCTCATTTGGAAAGAGATATCAGTTCACAAGCTGCCATCGCCGCTATTACCATCCTGGAGATGATAAATTTTCTAATTATTGCAGAACATTTGGGCAATCTGGCAACCCTCACCGACCAGATTTAGAGGTATTAAGGGAAGTTATATACGCTCATTTCTCAAATATAAATCCATATTACGCCAGTGTTTGAGAGAAGACGCTTAAATGAAGAAATATAACAAGAGTATTAGTGCTGTTGGCCAGATATACATGTTTACTGATCAGAAGGGGGTCTTTTGTTAGTCATTGTCATGGCTCCATACCATTGTGTCCTTAACCACAAAACGCAGACAGAAATCTGAGTATATTTACATAATATAAAAGACATTAAAGAACCAGACAAAATTGGAAATTTAGCAAAAGATGAAGATAGATGATGGAACACCGTTCGCGTACTTGATACACTCGTTGGGTTAAAGAGATTGTGAAAAGGCAACTTGTTTATGTATTGCGGGGACAATGAAAACATCGATTTGATCTATTCCAATTTCCTGGCAGACACATAATATTTTATCAGCATTTTTTATATTGACATGTTCTATAATAACAGGAACAACAGACATTTGACGGAAAATTAGAACAATGCTAATAGAAGCCTATAATAAAAAAATCCCTTTAAAATTATTCATCCAATAGGAATCCAGATCATCAATGAAAAACACTTCATATGATGAAAGAGAAAACGAAAAAGTAGATCGACTGGATGTATGCAATAAATGAACAAATCAGTGCTCGAGTGGCTTGATTCGAATACGGCATGTAGAAAAGAGGTAAATAAAGAAATACTAGACAGAAAAGAAAGTAGATTTGAAGAGTAGTTGAAAGAAACTCAAAGTAGTCAAAGAACTCGCCCAGACAACAGAATACAGACAGGTCACTGCAATAACAGATGAAAATCTTAAAGACGTTTCTCACCGCATGTGTTGACCTTTGAGCAAATGCCACTCGAGAGGAACGATCATTACATAGGCAAGAAATTCAGAGTACATGCACATTATGCAGATTCTATTCACCGTACACTCAATTATATAATAAGGCAAAAAAGCCATAAAGCCTCCTGTGTGATATAATGTGGTCGGTATGTTAATGGTAGCATATTATAATAGACTATGTGAAGGTTGGATTTCACGAGACGGTGATGTATCTATAAGTGATATTGTGGCGGGGTATAATTATTTCAAAATTACGACTGGGCTGGTAACACCCTTCACTTAGTCCCACCAATATAGAATTTTATATAATTACATGTATATCTTCTGGATAATGGGGTAGCAGTTTTTGTGGCCGTGGTATTTAAATTGATTTTTTATATATCAAAAGTAACACTGATGATATCAATACGAGCGATGCAGTTTCATAGCAGATGATGTTCGTCAGCGGTTAACCGGTTTCAGCATGCCTTTCTGGCAGTTTGATTGACATGTTATTGAGAATTTCGTCGCAGCACGTTGTCTGAAGATTGTATTGGCATAAACGCCGGCAAATGGGTAGAAATGTTTCTTACGTGATTTTTAAGAGAAATGCCAAGTTATGGGCTGACATAAGGTCCGACCAAGCGAGTCAACCAATATAACTCTCAGATACAGAACAACAAAATATCTGTAATTCTAAAATATCTCCAGCGCTATGTTCAAATACGATACTACACAGAAGACATACATAGTAAATATTTAAGATAACAGTGAGATAACCGAATGTATATGGTCAAACGTTCAACATATCTTAGTAGAGTTGAACAGCATAATCGCTCAGTCCAATTAGATGAAGAATCTAACAGCCGCATCATGAGGACTGCAGAATAACAAAATATGAAATGATAGCAATAATAATATCTTACCAGAAAAAGAAAGAAACTGCATAATATGTTCATGATTCCAAAATAAACTCTATACAATATAATGTAAATGAATAATAAATATCTTCTGAGAGTGTATTAAACGTTGAATGAGTCTTTGTTTAGTCATCTGATGAGTGTCTTCTATTTATATCACATCTGGAATCACAGACCTGCCAATCATAGTTTTAATCTCGTTTATTCCTGACCACTATCTGATC